CTGGGGGGGGGGGGCAATGATCCGTCGGCCCATTCTTTTTTATTACAATATCTACACCCCGGAAATTTTAAACAATTCAAAAAATATATAAATATTCTCCGGGAGCGTTTCCATATAAAATTGATAATTTACAAGCTGAAGCAGAAAGTTAAAATTTTTGACGGAATCGCTATTACACCAAGTCATTAAATGTATTGATTTGTTTAACAGAGACTACATTTTTCCCGAGTAAAGCAATTGCTTTGGAAATAATTATGTTCCTAAACCAGCTATATGTTTTATGCAACCGAACGTTCTTTTAGTACTTTAATAAGATTAAATAAATTATATAGATAATTTTGTTTTCATATATTTCTCTTGAGTGTCAAAGTAATAATATTTTGTTTATTTACGTTTTTTGTCATTGTTTTCATATAAATCGTATCTCATAACACACTAAAATAATTATTTAATTATTCATTGTGACAGAAAAAAGATAGATTTTAAATTTGAAGGAAATAAAACGGTAAGTGATGCAATCCACAATTCATAAAATTATGATTTTGGTTGATCTATACATTTTTGAATACTCTACTATAGGTTAAATATTGTATTTTACTGTCTAACATTTTTCTAGTTACCTAAATATTAAAGTTTATTTTTATTTTTTTTTGTGTATATTTTATGTTTATTATCAGTCAGAACTAAAAATGCAACTACTTTATTTTTCAAACTTATAACAACACAACTGAACTGATTAGTTATCGATTTCAAGTCCTTTCCCCATTGAAAAATCCTGCGTACGCCACTGAATTTAATGCATATAAGTGGGTATAAATGACCATTATTCGGTTTTAATTAAACTATAAAAACAAATGGCAAATAAAAAAAATATCAAAGTATAATGCAAGTACCCAACCACGATTGATTCACGAATTAGGAACATTAATAAGTTATAATAATCAGTAGAATTTTTTCCTAAATTAATTTACATCTATTCTAACTAATAATAAAAATTATCACGGAACTATTGTGACTTATCAGTTAATTATTGCATATATGTATCCATTCATTTATTTTAAACCCAACCATAACGAATTTATACAAATCATATTTAATTATAATTGTTTTTTTATGAAATTGTAAGTACTCTTTTTTCAGCAAAACATTTGTTTGGTAAAATAATTTAGCAAAACAAATAATTTTAAGACTAATACATTATATTTTCTAGTTATATTATAATTTTTAATTTTATTTGAATAGTAATTTTGTGTATACGCTTTTAAATGATTGATAAAAAGTTTATGGATGAATTATTTCTACATGTGTTTGTCAAGAAACCGTTTGTCGGGAAAATAGTAAAAATAGAACAAGTATTCTTGACTGTTGTTCTAAACAAGTAGAAGTTTCCAGTTTTATTATTGCTTGAGATAATCATTGAAACTTTGAAACTGAATATGTTTAATATATAATTCTTTTTTCAGTGTATTTATTTCCGTATTGGAATATGTTTTTTCTCGCTGTAATTGCTCAATGTCGTTTTGTAGGGAAAATATGTCAGCGTCCTTACGCATGTCCTCATTTTTTAATTTTTAAAATTTATTTTTCATTTTACTATATTTTTGTAAGCTTGTTTCTTTTAAATCTTCCAAAGTAGTGACTAATGTTTTAACGTCGTTAGTCATTTTATAATATAATTTGTTATATTTTACCCTTAAACTAATCAGTTCAAAGCATTTCAATTTTAACGTATTTGACAATAATTCAACATCACATTTCCACTTTTCGAGTTTTAAATTTGTACATTTGATGTTCTCCTCTAACATCGTATTCGTTTTGTTTAGTTCATTACATTTGTTTATACATTCGCTAAGTTGTCTGCACTTTTTACAAAGTTCTTCTTCATTGGATTTCAGATTTGTCTTCAATTTTTCGACCATGCAATTTGTTTTTCCTAACTTTTCCTAAAAAAAAAAAAAAGGAAAGAACATGTGTAGGTATAATTTATATTGTATTTTGATACTATATAATAATAAGATGGACAAAAAAAAAAATGTTTTTTCTCTCAAGGCAAATATTTACATTTTATTTTATTATTAAGGGTTTGTACGGACGTAACACTATCATGGAATCTTATTTCCCAAAAAAAAAATTCCAGTTTCTAATAAATAGCATAAAATAAATTATTCAATGGTAATTTCGGGCCAATTTATCAATATTTTTTAAATTGTCTACTTTCACGGCTAATAACTCCAATATTGATTT